TACTGATGACATGATGGTCCAGAACGCTAAGACCGTCTTTGTTGTTCACCATGGTATGAATGTCAACTGGGGACTGGTAATTGTCAAATCCCTTGTTGATTTCATCAAAAAGAAAGACAAGGAAACCAATTTCTTCAAAACCCGTATGGGTTATGGCCTTCTGCTCTCCGAACTACTTCTCAAATTAGGAACAGGGATGAGGAACCCTATTGAAGCTAACTACTCCAAGCTTCTCTTCCTGAACACCTCCAAGGACAGGAAAATTGCTCTCAAGGCCGAGCAGAAAAGGTCAAGGACTTTGGAGTTCAACAGAGAAAGACTCCAACAGAAGGCTGTCAAGTCTAAGAAAGCTGGTGACCAACAGAAGAAGAAGAAGCAACAGAAGGCCCCTATCTCTTCCAATAATAAAGAATCCGAGGAAGAAGAGCTACTGGTCAGAAAACCTGTGAAAAAGGTTGTCCCCAAAAAGGCTGCACCAGAAAAGGTGAAGAAGGTTGTAACTAAGAAGGCTGTCACCAAGAGGAAGAAGCCATCTCCTATCTCTACAGAATCTACCCCTTCTGCCTCTCTCATTGCCAAGAAAACAAAAGTAATGACTCCTGTAATCCAGGGGGAACTTGATGATTCCGCTTCTTCTGTTCAACCCAAGAAACCTATCTGGCAAGGTAAACGGATAGTGTTTACTTCCGAGTCCTCAAGTGCTTCCAAGGCCAGTAAGAATATTGGAGCACATACTCAGGGGAACCCAATAGCCCTCATTCTGTTGAACATCCATATCAATCCTTGATGATTTCCTCTCCAGAACATCAAGCAGACAGCAACAGAACCCCTGAGACTTCAGAACTTCAGGTGGATTATTTCACTACTTTGAACAAGCATTTTGTCGGAGTACTAGCATGGAGAAAATGGAAAGTGGGACCTCTTTCTGAGATAATAAGGATGTTCCCTTACTTTATCAGTGAGGAAGCTGAAGTACCCAAGTGGGCAGACACAGAAGACGTTGAGAAGTACCTTAATAAGGACTTTCTCCTATCTGTTCTAGCAGGAAAAGAAGAAGGATAACTACAAAGGGAAGGCTATCCTCACCCCTTCTGAAGAAGAAGATTCTGTGAAACATCTGGAGGATCATGAAGTGGCAATCTTTGATGCCTGGCTAGTTGAGAAGAAGAGCAAAGAGTCCCTCAACCCCTTCCTCCGCAGCCATCATGGAGAAGGAGAACCATCCACAGCCAATGATCAAGGGCTAGCCATGCTAAAATTGATCAAGGAATGGAGGGCATCTCTATACAAAGAAACAATACTTGAGGTAATCACTCATACACCTCCTCCCTCTCCCCAACATTTCAATCCCCCTCCCTCACCATGTCAATAATCATTGTTTGATATATTTATTATTAGTACAACAACCACCACCACTACTATTTTGGGGGTTTGAAACCAATATTACTAAATTACAAGTTTTGGACAAAAAATATGATTACATTTAAAAAGTTCCAAAAAAGTGATGTTTATAACATTTTTACCCTTATAGCCATTGCAACCCGACGGTCACTAGTTGTAAGCATTCTTAGAATAGTCGACTGAACAGAAGACCTCTTGGTTCTCTACTTGCACAGAAAACCTACGGGTTCTCTGTAGACATTAACTGGACAGAAGACCTCCACGCCCTCTGTTGACTTCTATCCTGACAGAAGTGCTTGAGGTCCTCTCTGATTTAATCTCTACTCAAGATTTGCAGAAGGCCTCATACTTAGAAGATTTTCAAAAATCTACCTAAGCCGGTGAAACCAACGGAAGATTCCCTCAACGACTAGGAGACTTCAACGGGAAAGCTACAGTGTATGCATTTAATGCTCATTTAATGAGCCCCGTACGATGTAGAGTAAAAGCTGATGATTGGCCGACATTCCAGGATAACTTTATCCCGAAATAGCAACTCGCCAACTTTCCTGGGTCCTACCGGTCAACTCATCTGTACGCGCATTTAATGCAGTTGCCTCCTCCTCCAACATAGAAGACAACCCTAGTATATATGATACTACACGAAGAACAACCAGATAACTTTTTCTCTCTCTACAACATCTAAACTTTCAAGCTTTCTTGAGACCTCAACTTCATCTCCCTCAACCAGAAAAGGTTCAGTTGGAAAGATAATATTTTCACATCTTCATATTCCAACAAGAGCAAAGTTCCAACAGTTCTTCAACACTTCAAACACTTCATATACACATCCTTTGTGAAAAATCAAGTTGGAGAAACCCCCGTTTTTACACAGAAATCTTCTTTCACAGGAAGGACGTCCAAGTTACTGGAGTAATGAAGTGGTTATACTTCAAGAAAGCTCAGTGAAAGGACCAGTCTTAAAGGAAGCCAGGAAATGCATCCCAGGAGACATCTACACTTGAAGAAGACGTGGAGAGCTTCTTAAGTGCTAGGACTAAGGCGTTGTAATCTGCGTTTTTACAAGCTTAGTGGAACAGTGGATTAGAGGAGCACGTTGTTCCTTGAACAACTGTAAAAATCCCTGGTGTCATTTACTCACTGCTTTTAATTCTCGTATTTACTTTAAACTGATTAACTCCAAAGACTTGGTCTCTGTGTTCAGCAAAACATGTCTTGTGAGTTAACAGAAGGCCTACTGCCTTTGCTTCTCTGTGAGGCTAACTGGACAGAACTCTTATCAGAATACCATCTGCTGCCAGTCTATTCTACCAACAGAACAGGCTATTCTGTTAAATCTGATACTTAGCTTGAAAAAGTTAAAAATCAGTCTATTCACCCCCCCTCTAGACTGTACCCAGTGTAACCAGGACCAACACTAGTAAGTCACCCGCCACCACTGCCCCCGCCAGTGACAATGACTTGTTGTCAGCTACAACTACAATTACTTTGCGCAATATGACCTCGTGCACAGGTCCAACCCCCCCCCCCCCCACAGCCCCCCCTGTCCTGAACAGTGACCACCTGTTCACACTGACCTAGGTAAGTTACAATTATAAGATAATTTTTAACCAAATCTGCTCGCAGTCCCGCCGCCATTGTTGTCACCACGTACTCTGCCTACCACCCCTGCCCCACTCTAGCCCCACACCCCTGCTGTTCCCCAATCCCACACCCAACACCCCAACCCCGACACTTAGCCTCTGCTCCGCCCCCGCCACCCTCCCTAGCTCCAACCCTGAACAGACGAATTACTACCCATAGCCCATACACATCCCCCACCAACCCCATCAGCCATCATGCACCACCCCACCCATACACACTAGCACCTAGAAACCTTAGCCACTGGCTGGGTATGTCGCCATCTCGGAAGTGAGCATCGCCTAGGATATGACGTCATCACTACCCCATAGCCCTCACTGTCGGCTGCAGTAGCCTCGAATCGGAGTCGTCGTTGATCGGAGGTCGTATCCATCTTCTTCGCTAGCGGTCCACGTCGTCTCAATCACCTTCACCATACATCACATAGAAAAAGAAGAAAAGGAAGAATAAAAGCAGCAGGGCGGCGATATGGAGGCGGAGATCTGGAGGAGCCGAGCTAACAAAGGAGGCGGTCACTAGACGACATCTCTGTTTTTGTATTAAAAAAGGTTCTAAACCGCAATGGTTGGGTTGAGAACTGTTTAGATGGTTCTGGTTCCAAATTTTGGGAGAACCAACTTATATTAGTGAACGTCGTGTTCCAAACGGGAGATGCTATGAGTGTTTGTGATTGCTTATACTTTAAAAAGGTGATTTTTTGAAGTGATTTTAGATAAAATACTTAATAGTAAAGATTAGTAGTGGTTTAGAGGGAAGTGTTTTTGAAAAAGTAAAAGTGGTTGGTGATTGATATAATAAGTACTTTTTGTGTAATAAAAAAAGTGAAAAACATTTTAAAGCACCTCTCAACCTGCTTTCAGCTTTTAGCTTTTAAGTATTTAGTTTAAGTAGAAGTTGTCACTCAAAACACTCATTTCGGCCTTTTTTAAGGGAAATTGCCTTAAATAGGAGTAGATGAGGTATGGAATTCCAAAATAGTACTACTATGTTTTTCTTACCGAAATAGAAGTTGTTACTGCAATGTATGAAAAATACTGTCATTAATTATAATAAATATTGTCATGTTAAATGCATTGTACTGCAACTTTTTGACAATCACACCTACAAGATGACAGTAAATACTGTCATGTTAGTCTTATTTCAGGAATAAAATATAGTACTCCTATTTTGAAATTCTAAACTCCATTTTTTTAAATACTTCCTCCGTCCTGAATTGAATTGAAAACTTTGACCAACACATGGATTAAGGAATTGCAATAAATGATGCTTGTTTTTTTACACTTTTGTCCAGGGGCAGAGCCAAGGGGGGGTTAGGTTGGTCAGCCGACCCCGCTGAAAGTTCAAGACTTTAGAACTCTGAAATACCTTCGATTTGATATATTATGTGTCCCGTAACTCATTACAAGTAAAAAGTTATGACTTCTGGAAAAATCAGCACCATCTTAACTTGAAATAAGCAAAATTTAATACGTGACGTAAATTATATTCTTAAATTTAAAAATAAAACAACTTATTCAGTCATTAGTTGTGTGAACATTATGATACATTACCTATATATCAACATATTAACCGAAAAATTCTCATTAAACTACCATTTATCTCAGCTACATATGAAACATTTAACTCAAGTATTGTATAATAATTATCCATCATTTTGATATTGTATATAATTAAATTTCGACCTCGCTCACACATTTTTCTAGCTCCGCCCTTGCTTTTGTCCATCTTCCTAAAAGTAGATGTCTTTAAGTTAATGAGAAAAAAATAAAAGTAAAGGTAAATTTATCACTTTATTCTTATTTAATATCTAAAATAGAAAATGGAAAACCATTTTGGGACAAGCAAAATAGGAAATTTTGAAAATCAAATAGGGAGTATGGTATACTAGGTAGCTGTCCTTGTTCCCTCCACTACATATATCCCCAGGTCCCCCTATTCCTAATGCTACTTAGCCGCTTCGAATAACTATTTTCAATCTCACTAAAGCTTAGCCTACCCCATCGCCTCTGATGAGTTGAGTATTGACTGCTCGCATTGCAGCCGGAGTAGATGAGTAACGGAGGCGGCGGCGGAAGGGACTTCCAGGCCGCTCCTATTGCTCCGTATAGCTTGAATGAGATCTGGCCGTTCGCAATCAATGCCGCCGCCCCGGCGGCGTATGGGTTGGGGATACCCGCGAATGTGAGTCGAGAGCACTGTGCGCCGTTGAGTGATCCGCTGTTTTCGGACCAGACAGTGAAACAGAACAGCAGCAGAGCTAGGAAGCCACGCGAGGATGACGAATCAGCTAAGGGAGTTTCCACCAGCGGCAATGGCTTGGTAGTTTTCGGTTTTACTCTTTCGTCAACTATTTTTCATTTATGTCGTTTTCGTTCTTCTATATTTGCTCAAGATGATAGCTAAAACTTAGGGAACATGATCCATAAAGAAGGCTGAGGTGGATGCGATGATCTCATTATGATGAGTCCATCATTATGAAATTGGTCACCGCCTCATCCTCCACACATGCTCTGTGTATGTACTTGAAGATCTGGTATACTTGTTCTGTTCATTTGCGTTCGATTAGCTTCTGCCCAATTTGTTTTATCACGTGCACTGGAATACAAATTGCACTTGTTCTTACGGAGTACTTTATTTGTATTTATTGTACAGAATCTATTTTGGGATTGACTTTGAATCCCTCTAAGGCGCTAACTCTTCAACTGTGTTTGTGATTTTTAATTATTATTATCACTATCATTATTACTGTAATCATTATCATCATCATTGCTGAAATCTTCAGAAGTCGGCTGTTTTTATGTTTCACTCTGAATATGAATTATTACTAGCAGTCTCCTACAGGAAGACAGTCAAATATTTTGAATTCTTTTACCGATTTTTCATCCATTCGTAATAAATTGTTCTCTTACTAATTATAGCTAACAAGGTAAAGGTTCATATTATTGGAGCATTAAATTTGGTGAATTTGATTCCTTTTAGCAGAATGAAAGTGATACTAAGCGACTGAAGACAGTATGTTCAAATGATAACCCTGAGTCTAAAGTCAATGGAGAAGGGACTTCTGGAAAGCCATTAGAACAACCTGCAAAGCCCCCCGAAGCGCCCAAGGATTACATTCATGTTCGTGCACGGAGGGGTCAAGCAACTGATAGTCATAGCTTGGCAGAAAGGGTATAATTGTACTTTTTTATTTCTTGTACTGTGAATTTGGAAGTTATCATGCTAAGATACAGGAAGTACACTCTCATGATCTGATCAGCTCTTTAGCATCATGTTGATAACTGGTCGGTTGACTTTCTTACGAGATTATGTTTCTTATTTTTCAAAGAATTGCTGATGCCTGATGGGATCCTTTTGGTGCACAGGCCAGGAGAGAAAAGATCAGTGGAAGAATGAAAATTCTTCAAGACATAGTCCCTGGTTGCAACAAGGTGATGCATTTGAATTTTGTGCTATCTCTTCTTATTGAAGTGTCATAATAAGCCTGTTATGAGATAACATTGCTTACTTATGTTTCTTATGATGAATTGTTATAATTTCAATAAAATAAAGTATGAGAGTATATAATCTGTTAGTTTTGGCATGTTTCAGTCACATTCAGTTGTTTTGGTTAGTACTCCTCCGTTCCTATTTTATCTTCCAAATAGGTTTGGCACACAATTTAAGATAGTGGTTATTGTGTGGTGGAGAGTTGTGCACAGGAGAGAAAAATGTGTAAGAAATGTTGTGAACCACAAATTCTTTACTAAAAAGGGAAAGTGGAAGTTTTAATTGGAACAGACGAAAAAAGGAAAGTTGAAAGTTTTAATAGGAACGGAGGGAGTATCAGTTTTGATTGATTGTGGGTTAGTTCTATTTGGGTTTAGCGTTTCCTTACAGTCTTAATTGTTTCTATGAAAATTTATGATGGAAGGCTTTTATGTTTTCTTATTTTTCCAATACACCCTTGATGGTACTTGGTAGTACTAGACTAGTAGTATCCTAAAATCCTCCTCCGTAGACCGCTTTGAAAATACCTCTATTTGAGGTTTACACTTGTCAGGTTATCGGCAAAGCACTGGTCCTTGATGAGATTATTAATTATATCCAATCATTACAACGTCAAGTTGAGGTATGCTTAAGATTAGTATCCAGGTCCGTGCACTGGTTTATTCAAACACTTCCGATTTTTTGTTTTGTTTTATTGCTCTCTAGTTTTTGTCAATGAAGCTTGAAGCAGTTAATTCAACAATTAACCCCGGAATTGAAGGATTTCCATCAAAAGATGTAAGTGTTGTATACATAATCAGTCATACCCGTTCATAGAGCATTAGGATAAGCTAATTTGACGGAGCAAGTGCCATTTAGAGGGAAACAACGCTTTTACTTGAAAAAAGAGTTTGACAGAAAAGTGGTGGAGTAAATTCCTTAAATTCAATTAAAATATAGGCAAGATGTACAAATAGAAACACATTATTTTCTTCCTAAAACAGGACTAATTTTCTTGAGGAAGTTTACAATCAAATAACTCCTATTTTACGAATATAAAAAAGTTATATCTATCTGTGCACTTGTCTATGTTTTACTCCTATTTAGGAAGTAGTTTTGCGCGTTTGGCAAGGGTTGTTTGTCTTATATGATTGGACCTCCTAACTTTTTCAAAAGAAAAGCGCTTTGTAATATTGCAAACTAAGTAAAACTAATAAGCTACTTTTAGCCTTTTAGGTACCAACTGAGATTGGGGTTTTATAGGAAAAGCTGTTTAAGTGCTTCAATGAGAAAGTAGTAATGAGTAATGACAAATAGAAGCAGTACTTTTAAGATCACTTAAAAAACTTTGACAGTGACTACCGAATGCGTGCATCATTTCTTTCATGTTTTACGAAGTTAAAACAATTTTGACTTTTTGTCCAGTTTCCTGCACATACCTTTGATGCATCTACTATAGTGTTTGGTTCACAAGCTACTCGAGACTATCATCCGGGAGCTTCACCAGATTGGCTGCACATGCAAACTGGTGGTGGATCTGAAAGAACCGCATGAGTAAATAGACAAATGAGGATCTGGTGCTTCTTTCGCCCTATGTCCCTCTTCGTTCGGCAATACTACATGTGTCTATTGGTTCACAGATGGAGAAAGAGTAGTTCTGATGTTTTTCGCATACCCTTAGCATGCTTCTTCATGCTTTGTAACTTACTGCACAAAAAGATCATTAAATGAAATTTCTTCATGTGAAAGTGGTTTCGTGTCCATCTTGAGAATTTGCAACATAAAAAATGCCTAAGATTTTTCATCGTATATTCAATAATTCTAATGGTCCCGTTGTTGGTTTGAGCATTGAACGTTGTCCGCAATTTAATGCTCCTCCCGTGAGGTTTGAAATGGATGGATTGATAGAATCTACTCCCTCAGTCCAGATGCAATGTCCCCGCTTTCCTTTTTTGAATGTCCCGTTAGAAAGTTCCCATTTCCTTAAATGGAAAGTTATCCTACATCAAAACAGGGTCAAACAGTGCAAAACAGTGTCAAACAGTGTCGAAACAGTGCCAAACAGTGTCGAAACAATGTCAAAACAGTAAAATTTACCTCCTGTTAAGTTTATGTCCTTAATATGTGTGTAGGTCAAACCGGGAACATTCCAACGAGACGGAGGGAGTATTGAATTAAGTATGGACTGAATTGGATCTCTTAAATTATACTCCGTATATAAAAAGTGTTTCTAAATTTACATATGAAATAAGATAAAATAAAGAGTTTTTACCCATAAATAGGACCAAATTATGATCAAAACTCCTAAATGGGAGTTAATGTTTTATTATTCCTAAATAGGTTTCATTATCTCCAATTTACCCTTGCTTTAATAAAATCGATCTGTCCATCTTCCGCGTCTTACTTCTCGATCGACTTCTTCTTCTCTGCATCTTACTTCTCGATTGGCTTCTTCTTCTCTGCATCTTACTTCTCGATCGGCATCTCCCATGGCATAGAGACTCTCTTCAGCACATTGCTCCAACCAACTTCTGTATAGGTAATTTCGTCCTCCTTCTCTATCTCTTCCTTCTTCTCCTTCTTCTCCTTCTTCTCTTCTCCTTCTCGTTTCTCCTCCTCCTCCTTTCTCCTCCTCCACAATTCTTTGCTCGATCATCTTACGTTTATGATTATTTTCTCTTAATTTATTTAAAAAAATTCCGATTCTCAATGGATTTTTTTTTGGTTTGAGACTTTTGAATTCAAAACATTTGGGTATAAAATTTCGAGGCTCTTGTTCCAAAAAATCCAGATCTACGTTTTATTATGGTGTATCTTTAGCAGCTTATAAGAAATGCCACATTTATGGCATTTTATTATGGAGATGGAAACATTGCATCTTTGGAAATGCCAATTTTTTGACATTTTCACAAATTTTGGCATTTTTAGGCATTGAATTGAATTTGTGGGCAACATTGCTTCTTCATTTTTCATTTCCTATTTCACATTTTCAACTCTAAAATGTTAAAATACCATAATTTATAATCTGAAAATTCCATATGTTTACATCTAGAAATGCCATTTTTTTGTCATTATTGTTATCATAATTTCAATTTTGCCTTAAATTGATACTATACACTCCACAGGAGGTAAACGTGATTAAGAAGAAGAATTTAGCAATGACTCCATTCACGCTGCAGGAAAGGGTAAGTTGCCTCTCCAGAGGTGTGCAATGGTAATCTCAGTGGCGGCGGTCTCACACTCTCACTTGGCAGCGGCGGCGGCCTCGACAGCGGTGGCTGGTGGTGGTGGCCTCGACATCGGCGGTCGTGCGCATAAGGCATGATGCTAAAGGTGTCGGTGCCTCGGTGGTTTGGAGCTCAGGCATCGGCTATCTGCATTGTCAAATACTGGGGGCGTTTTTTTTATTTATTTAGCCCTTAGTTTCATTAAGGGCAATTTTGTCTAATAAGTTGATTTTTGGTCCTATAAAATATGAGTCCTATTTGTGCATTTGAACATTGATTTGGTCCTATTCAGGGAATTACCTCTAAAATAAAATAATGTAAAAAAACTGAAGGTATCAATTTCAATCATTTCATCCAAAAAAGATATATTTGGACGAGTGAAAATAAGTTAAATAAATTCTGCTCCTATCAAGGCCTCGAGGGACGGCGAGAGGGGTTAACTAGGGTTCTGCGGGAGATTCAAATGAAGTGTAACTTGCGTTTATAGCGCCACGGTCTCTCCCTAGCAGGTCTAGGGTTTGGTTTATCCTTAGCAGATCTAAGGTTTGGTTCTTCCGACCGATGAATCCCTTCACTTGTGTCCGACGCTGGGATTTTAGTCGGTGTCAATTTTGTTTTTCTTTTGATTGATGTAATGATCCTGAAACTTATGATATGAAAGAAGGCTAGTTGACGATAAAACAAAACAGGTCTTTAGTAGAAAAACTTACTGTAGTTTTAATTTTAGCCTCCTCTTTAGTAAATACAGTCTCATTAGAATTTTTATTAAATAATACTCGTATGATTAATTTTACATGCTGATCTCTTTTAATTTGGAACTCGTGGGTTCTGTGAATCTTAAGAGTTAAGACCCGGATGCCGTTGTGCAATAGCAATTAGCAACACCAGCATATCATGTTTGAGGGGAAATCCTCAATAACCCTCCAATTTCCTCATATGAGTATAAAATCCCATGCATGGTTAATGGTGTTTATAGACACACTTTAGAGACTGAACAATTATTATTTCCACTACTAGTCACCGCTATTTCAATTAGTACTTTCCGGAAAGTTGTATGTTTTACTACGTTTATTAAAGTATCTTCCATGGGAAAGATGGAAACTGATATAAAGTGGAGCACCGGAGATAGTAAGCGATGGAGAGCGAGGTGGATGAAGGCATGGAGAAGCTCCTGCTTGGGTGCTTGTAGAACAATGACGACATTGCCAAAGTCGTAATCAAGGATGGTGAAAGATGGTGGTTACTGGATATACATTGATCACACCTTTAATTCTTGGAACTGCATCGCCAAACATAAGGATACAATAGACAACTAATACTATTTTAATTATATACTAATTTTATGAAGGGTTGTGAAAAGTAATATTGTGGCTCCATTTAGAATTCAAAAGACAAAAGTAGAGTTTACAAAATGGGCTTTTAATACGGACTTGCACGACAATGGCTGATTGGTATGTAGTTAGATACATGGAGTTCCCAACGGAATGTCGACTTGTGAATGCCGTGATGTAAATAAGCCGACTCATCTCTATCTTTTGTTCTTTCGTGTGGTTAGGCCGGTCAATGGGTCGGGTCCGCGTCAGAGCGTAGTATTCCAGACGCGGACCCGCTAAGTTAATAATGGACCCGGACCTGACCCGATTACCGACGGGTCTGGAAATTCGGACCCGGACCCAGACCTAACGGGTTTCGTAATCGGGTCGGGTAGACCCGTCCGTCAAGTATGATACGCACGCCATTATAAACTTTGTGAAAATAACAAGACAAATATGTGAATATAAAACAAAATATATCTCCACTTTTCAAAAAAAAATCAAGGTCTCTCATAGAAAATTAGTACCTTTATCTAATAAAGTACTGCCTCCGTCCCAATTTACTTAGCCAAACTTGACTTTTCAAGTCAACGACCTCTAACTTTCACCAATTATTTAAGCTAATATATTTATGCAAAATTTAATAATTTTATACTTTTATAATAGTGTTTTTAACCAAGAACATTTTCATATCATTTTCATATTATCAATACTTTCTCTATATAAACATATAATCGGTCAAAGTTAGACGTTGTTGACTTGAAAAGTCAAGTTTGGCTAAGTAAATTGGGACGGAGGGAGTATCAGTTCTTGTACATGCATATACTCCACACTCTGCATCGCTTTCTCTTGCACAAAAAGCTCGTAAAATAAACTAGAAATTAAGTAATAAAAAGGTCTCTTGGATTACTAAGAGTATAAAATCATATATATGTAGTATTATATATGATAATGATATAATAATATTAATAATAATAGTAATAAATAATGTATTTTTCTTACCGAGCCCAATACACACTTTATCTGTATGTATTTACGGCCAAAATGGGCATTAGTTTTAGAGTATCTTACTATCTCTATCAGTATCACTTATATAGTAGTTATGCATTAATGTGAACATTTTTATTGAATAATCACAACTAGTAACCTTATGTATTGTTATGTATATATGTATATTAGTTTCTATTTTATTTAAATTGTTATAACTAATCACTTTATGTATTAGTGTATGTATACAAATAAGAAATTTTAAACGGGTTCGGATCCTTAACGGGTCAGAATCATATGTACCATACCCGACCCATTTATTTAAAATACTAACGGGTCCGGATCCGGGTCCGGGTAAACGGAATAAAATATAGACACGTACCCATTAAAAACAACCAGGTCCGAGTCCGGGTCGCGTCCGAGTCTAGACCCGACCCATTGACAGGCCTACGTGTGGGCAGTGGGAATTTGAGACATTGAGGTTTTGAGGCGTGGTTGGTGTTGGATGAACAATAGAAGAGAGCACTGAAAGAATGTTATCTTTTTTTTCATATCCTGGGAGAGAAGAGAGTCTCCTTTAAATAGTAAAACCTGCACCTGAAAGTGCTGAACTGCTTCCTTGATATTAGGAGAAAAAAGAGTCGAGCAGTTCCGGATAACCATAGTTTGATAAGGTTAAACAAGCAAGGCAGTTTCAGCCAAGTCAAATTAATTTTAAAAAAATGGCCTTGATAGATTCTACAAAGAATAAATCAAGTCCACGAGGCCCCATAAATCAGTGGGCCCAACCACGATCCGAGCGAGTCAAAATAGACAGGTCAGATGGCGGCATCGGCCGAGAAGAACACAAAGAAAGGGAAAGGCCTTGCATTACCAACAATCCCCCACTAATGCACAGGCCGTTAACTAAAAAGAGAAGTTCTGAGCTTTTAGAAAGGATAGATGCTTAAATACTAGTATCTTTCGATTGAACTAGCACATAGTGAATCTAGGTATTCCCTTTACCAATCAAGTGAACAAATCTTGAACTCATTGGTTTGAGGATTCACCTAAAAACATACATCACACCTATTAACAAAACGAGTTCCACAATTAAAACAAAAGTATTGGCCAATGTTACCTCGGGACGCTCATGGGTGCTCTAGAAAGACTGCCCGTGTCTTTCATAGAAGGAGGCCAACCCTTCACACCCAAGCAGGTGATTCCATCAG